ATATATATATGTATAATATATGTAGTTATGCATATGCGTGTATAAGCCTGTGCAACTCTTGGAGGGGTACTTTGTTTCAAAGAAAGTTTGAGCAAAACAAATCCTTGTGGTTGCTTCATAAAGAAGCATGCCCCCCTTACTTCTAAAAGGAAAGAAAATTGCTTGGCAGCCTCTCCTCAGACTCCTTCAACCCATGCAAAAGCCAGAAGGCATTCATGAGTAGTCTTCTCTGGCTTTTGAGAGCTAAAAAGATGTTCCAAGGCTCTGCTCTTCTCTCCTTAACTTGCCACCATCCAAAGTGGCTTATATATATGCATTTTTATAGATACTTCTTCTGGATTTCTAAGTGACAGAAGAGGCTATGAGGAGGCAGGAAGGCAAACAGGGAGATTTCAGGTCAATGAAAGTGCTTTGTCAAGGCAAATCTCATCATCTCTTTGCCTGACAAAAAGAACTGGGTCTCCTCTGAAGCACAAAGTTCTTCATCAAGAGGAAACGTAGGCTATACATACACACACACACACATGCTCTCGTACATGCACATATACATAAACACACACACAAACACACAGATATATAATATACAGGTAGTCCTTGTTATCTGCAGTTCCATTACTTAAGATTTCACGTTTTTAGCAATTTCTCCTAAAAGAGACCAGACCTTTGGATCTGGGTAATGGTTCACATACCTATCTATGGTCTTTGTTGTTGTTACTTTATGCATGTGCAAAATGGCAGTTTTTGCATATTGAAAAATACGTTTTTTTTCAAAGTCTTGTCTATAATTTTGTCACCCATGGTTGTAGGTTGGAATGGAACCCCCCATGAATAACAAGGTATCTGTTGGTTTTCACATTATGTATTATATTTCTCCTTTGTACAATTCCTTTAGCAAAAAGCTACCTTTCAAGCAAAACTCTAATTTAAAATTATCTTAATCTAGTCTAGCTCAGGATTTGCAACAAGATAAGTTCCTTTTCTAGAATGTCAAGTATACCTTTTACCTACTTATTACATAGATACACATTATGTCAGATCCAGACTGGAAAGTCACTTTCCCTAGTCCTATGGAAGAGGACAGTTAGTGTTTTGGGCTGCAGGGTGAAGGATAAATCCATAAAATTACCTTCCCATTACTCCTCCTGTGGATGGAAAAAATATTTATCTCTGCAAATGATGCAGTCTGGACCCAACCCAGAATCAAGAAGACACACTTCTTACCATCATTATTATTCTGATGGACAGAAGTTTATTTTTAAAAAACGTTGAAACATTGGAAGTTGGAAACAAAACAGCCCCAAATCAAGGTTTGTTTAAAAACAATATCCTACCTTTTCAGCATATTCTGATACAATCTGCTTGATCTCATCAGACTGAAGTCCAACTATCTGGCCTACGGTGCTTGCAGTTAATCTGCCCTGAAAACATAGCTCAAGTTTTTTTAAAGCATACAAATGCATACCTCCATGAAAATCAGTGACACAATGCAAATTGTTTCAAGAACTTAATTATTTCCACAGATGTCCCAGTTTGCTTTTTTCCCTCTTCCCTTCCCATCTCTTTTCTTCCTTTCTGAATCATATCTGTTCGATTGCAAGCTTACCACATGGGCAGTGACTGTCTCATTTTCATAACTGTGCATATGCTTCTTAAGGAGCCTTTTTGGCAAGTGAGCCAATAAAAATTAACAATAATATTGAAACCCTTGGATGACCAAGAGGACTTCTGGGTACTAATACTATCTTTGCTTCTATTTTTTTTAAATGAATACCACTGTGCCTTTACAAGCCATGCAAACAGCTGACAGAGAATAAACCTCTGATGAGAAAGACGATTCTTTGGGCTTGCTAGTTTTTTCCTTGTACTGTATCAATTTACATTAAGCTGAGCTTAATGGCTCAGCTTGTCCCACCCAGTTAACTCTATTCAAGTATTGTGATAGTTTTTCAATCAAACTGCAAATATAGTGGGAAACGGCAGGAATGCAAGTATGCTGTTTATGAACTGATGCCATCAAACTGGTTTATTAGATGCAAAATCCAACTAGAAAATGGTAAGCGCATATTATCTTTTTCTAAACAGTCACAGTTCTTTGCTTATTTCAACTCACCAAAGACAGAACCTTTCAAATAAGAAATTTGGTACATCTATTTTCAGAAATATTTTCACTTAAATTGCCAAATGTAACCAAATAACAAACATTAAAAGCAGATAATTAACTTCATTCTTAGACACTAAGTACAGAACTAATTTACCTCTTCTGTTCCCATGGCAGCCATCTCAGTCATCAATGCTTTGATACGAAGCTGATTTAAAAAAAGAGGGGGGCAACATTAGAAAGTTAGTTTCTGAACATGACCCCAAGGATTTTAGTCAAGGAATATCAATGATGGGCACCTCTTCAGCAGCTTGAAGGTCATCCTCAGTATAAACATCTGTTTTTCCTGATGATGCGAGCCCAGCTGGCAGTACAACCTTCTTGTCTTCAGGCTATTGCAAAGGAAAAGTCGCTTGTAAGATTAAGATTAAAAACTGATGGAATCGCAGGACGAATAAACTACAACCATGTCTAAATATATTAAAGATATAAGGCTGGATCTAACCAAGCACAGTTTGGTTCACACACAACGCTAATTCATGGTTTGCTGAGTCAACCACAACTGGATGGGTGTGAACACCCAAAGACATAGTTAACAAACCACAATGGCTGGCTTTACCTAGCACACCAAGAAGTAAGCGCACAATGTTATGGCTTTGTAGGATGTTTAAACCCAGCCTATTCTTTCCTGCACTATGTGCTATTCCTAAGTAAGGTATCTAGAACAATTAAAAGAATGAAGCACACGTTTGTCTTTCCCAATACCCCTAGCAATCCTAGATTGAATGGAAAAACCTGCAACAGGTTCTCCTTCCAAACATTTGACATCTACCTTAAGAGAAATCCAGAACGAGCAGGATTTTCATGGGCTCAGAGGCTTTTGCTCACTTATAAGTAAGGTTAAATGGAATTCTTCTGCCAACCTCCCTTCCAATCTGGGGAAGTTGGGATGCTGATGGGAGGCTTGCAAGCACACTAATTTCCTATCCACTTCAATGTATCCTGGGGTTAGCCAATCTTTTGGGGCTGCTGGATAGATTTGGAATGTTGAACGTGTATTACAAGCACTTCCGTACAATGGCTGCTAGGGGGAATCTGTTCATTCACAAAACGGCTACCCCTGAAACAATCAATTACAAAGTACTGTTTGAACAAAATACAACCTGCTGCCCTCAGTAGCACTCCCCCAGGATACTAATTAATTACTGCCCCTGTTTACCTTTGTTCTTCTTTTGGACAAGTGGACATACTTCCCGACAAACCATTTTACTTTCTAGAAACTTTGTGGGACCTCTTTGGAACATTTTTGGAAAGAAGCAGAATGCCTGAGATGGATGTAATGTTTTTTTTTTCCTGCAAGCCAGCTTCCTATTTTTAATGATTTTCTTTTGCAAAGGTTAAATGTGACATAGACCTTTATGGGAGCCAAGGAAAGTACACAGAGGAATACTAGGACCTATTCAGCATCCAGAGGAACTAGGGCCCCCAAGGCTTGATGTAGTAATAGTTTTGACAAACTTCTTAACAACCAGGGGGGAAGGTTCCATTTGGATATCCAGGGGAATGTTTTTCCATAGAAATGGGGCAATAATTGAGAAAACTCATCTCCACGATCTCTGAAAATGGCAATCCCTGAATGAAAGGACACAGGATGAAACCTACTGTAGCCTATTTAATCTTATTAGGTGGGCAGATACTTTTTGGGACAATGCAGTCCTGCAGATATTCAGATACTAAGCCATCCAAGGCTTTAAAGATGACAAACAGCACTTTAATTGCAACCAGAGGTTAACTAACAACTAGTGCAGCCCTTGTAGTGGCGTTGCATGAGCAAGTGGTGAAATCAAGGTGCTACATTTGGGACCAGTTGCAGTTTCTGAATGCTCTTTATGGAAAACCCCATGTAGAACACATTACAAAAGTCCAGTTGAGGAGTGCCCAAGGCATGTTTTTCAAGGAAGAAACAATCTTACCTTCTCCATTTTTCCTTGCTTGCTGAACCCATACCTCCTATAATATGTAAACAGAGAAAACAAAAAGATTTTCGTAGCTTCACTTTAGTTTAATGAAAGATGTCACTTTGACCATGCATAAGCAGCTCTCAGCACAGTGATGGCTCTAGGTTAGTTGTGAGTTCAAAATGAGGTAGTGAACAAGCATCTTCTCCATAATAATTGAACTTTCATCAACATTGGAAAGCTCTATAACAGTGCATCAACAAGCCAAGATGATGGTGTGATTCACTGTAAAACCGCAATGTAAAATGTTTGAGCAGCTGGGGAATACAATTCAGCCTCTTACCCTTTCAAAGGACTACAGGAGGTAATCTAGTGATGTGGCATCATCGCTGAAATAAGCAGGTTTTTTTCAGTTCTTTTTTGGCAGTTTGGGGGAGCTTTAACACAACCTTATTCATTTACTTAACCAAATTTATACACTGTCTATCTCACTGTACAAGTGATTCTAGGTGGCTTACAAGTAAAAAAGTGATAAAAAACAATAAAAATCTGTACAAAAACATGCAAAGTTAAAAGGCAGAGAGAATGTCTTTAAGCCACCAACCGCCTCCAGTGTTGTGAACCTCCATGAGATCCCCATGCTAGTTGGCAGAGCCAGGTCTTAACACTATTCTGGAAGGCCAAAAGAGCAGGAGCTAATCTCACCTCAGGGGGCAAGATTTCCACAGGGCGGGAGCAATGGCAGAAAAGGGTCTCCTCCTAGAACCCACCAGCTAAAGAATTTCAAAATTCGTAGCATGCCCTTCCTGCCGGACCAGGTGGGATGGGTCGAGGTAACTGGGATGAGATGGTTCCTCAGGTAACGTGGGCCCATGCCATGAAGAGTTTTAAAGGTCATAACCAACACCTTGAATTGGACCCGGAAACAAACCGGCACCCAATGCAGCTCACACAGCAGAAGTGTTACATGTGCAGCCCTAGAGGCACCATAACTGCACCAGCTACAGCTTCCAGATACTTTTCAAGGGCAACCCCATGTAGAGCGTGTTGCAATAGTCTATATGGGAGATGATCAGTGCATGAGTGACTGAGAGAAGGGCTTCCTGATCTAGGAAAGAACACAACTGGCGCACAACACAGAGCTGAGCAAAGTCCCTCCTAGGCACAACTGCCACCTGCTCCTCAAGCAGGAATTGTGAGTCCAGGAGATCCCCCAGATTATGCACTGGGTCTGTCTGGGCAGTGCAGCCCCATCCATGACCAAATATGGTAATGCCCCAGTTCAAAAGAGCCCCAAACCCCCAGCCACTCCGCCTTACCAGGGTTCAGTTGAAGTCTGTTGTCCCCATCCAGACCCCACAGCCTCCATGCACCATGAAAGAACATCCACAGCATCACTTAATTCACCCGGGATGGAGATATACAATTGAGTATCATCTGCATACTGATGATACTTCATCCTGTGGTATCTAGCACCTAGCAGCTTCACGTAGATGTTAAAAAGGAGCAGAGAGACCACTGAGTCTTGCAGCACCTCACAGAGCAGGGGCCATGGGCTGGACCCCTCGCTCCCTATCAACACCAACTGGGACCAGCCTCGGAGGAAGGAGGTGAACCAGCACAAAACTGTGCCCCCCACCCCCAACTCCCAAAAGGATACCACAGCTAATGGTACCGAAAGCCACCGAGAGGTCAAGAAGAGCCAAGATCCTGCTCCCGCCAAAGATCATCTAAAAGCATGACCAATGCCATTAGCATCCCATATCTGGGCCTGAAACCCGACTGGAAGGGGTCCAGATCATCTGTTTCATCTAGGATCCTCTGGAGCTGCAGCACTACCACTTCTCTACCACCTTTCCCAAAAAGGGGAGGTGAGAGTCTGGGTGAAAATTGTCCAGGACGGTGGGGTCCAGTGACGGCCCTAACAGCTATCAAAGCTTTAAAACACAGCAGACAAGAGAAGGGCCACAGCTTGGTGGTGCAACACATGCTTAGCATGCAAAGTCCAGTCCCTGACATCTCCAGTTTGCATGGAAAAGGTTTGAGGCTGAAACCCTGGATGGAGAACAAAGAGTCCTTGTTGTTTAAGAGATCCTTTAAGACTACCAGTTAAGGTATGATTTTTGCTGCAAAAGACGAAGATGAGTATTCCTCTGGAAGCTGAATACAAAAGCTCCAGAAAATAATAATCCAAAGGTCTGGGCAACCTTCATTTATGGAAAAAGAAGGGGACGTTTGATATTTAGGCTTAGCAATCCAATCTGTCATATTTTATTAACCGTTAGTGTTGGATAAAACACAAGCTAAGAGAAAGGGTGTGATACTGTCAGCCCAAATGTGAATCTGGAATAAAGCTGAGCAGGGCTGAATATTTGAGTTTGTATATCCTGGTTTGTTTTTGAATACATATTTTGGCATGAAGGAAACAGAGTGAAATCAATTAGAAATTACTATGACAGAGCTAAATAATGAAATCAGACTGCTTTGGCTTTGTAATAATACACCATTGAATATGTGATATAGCTGGGTTAAAGAGAGTTTTATTTTTATTATGTAACAGCCCCCCAAGTTTTACACTGAACATTCAAATAACTAAGAATGTTAATCCAATAGCACTACTAAATAATAAAAGTGCAGACATATTAATAAGAAAAGTGCAAACCCAGAACAAAACACACAAAGGAAAAATACTCACAAGAAATAGTCAGTGAAACTAAGGGGAGGGATAACAAAGAGAGATGATTTGAAAATATACCTAAGTCTGCAGTGGAAAAGCCATGAAGATAAAATTATCAAATGTTTCTCAATGAGACTGTAAAAACCATTAAATCTGACACTAAAATTGGCAAGAGACTTCAATAATCGATGTAAAAGTTTCACAAATACATTTGCTAAGTAAATTTTACGGCTGTTTGTTACAATGTGCACATTCCTTTCATATAGAATGTACCAAGCTGGAATCCCTGAGGAAAGTTTTGATATACATCTTACATGTAAATGTTTTACTTTTCACCTTGGGTGCGGTATTAAGAGGCTTTTCACCACCTGCGTCTACTGCTAGTCTTCAGAGGTACCAAGTGTATTCACTATTTCATAGCAATCTAGTTCAATACAATTGTCACTGCGCTGCAACAGAAACTCCAGGATGTATTCCAGAGCAGGGTTCCTCAACCTTGGCGACTTGAAGATGGGTGGACTTCAACTCCCAGAATTCCCCAGCCAGCATGGTTCCCCAGCATGGCTGGCTAGGGAATTCTGGGGGTTGAAGTCCACCCATCTTCAAGTCGCCAAGGT